AAATAACTATAAGCCCTACCTGGACCAATCTTGCATGGATGATGCATCTAGGGATGGACACTACCAAACTTGCTTCGGATGCTGGATCTGACCTAGATTTTCCAGATGAGTGACCAGGTTAAAGTTTTAGGAGCAGGTCCATTCCCAAGTAACTATAAGCCCTACCTTGACCAAACTTGCATGGATGATGCATCTAGGGATGGACACTACCACACTTGCTTCGGATGCTGGATCTGACCTAGATTTTCCAGATGAGTGACCAGGTTAAATTTTAGGAGCAGGTCCATTCCCAAGTAACTTAAAGCCCTACCTGGACCAAACTCGCATGGATGATGCATCTAGGGATGGACATGGCCACACTTGCTTCGGATGCTGGATCTGACCTAGATTTTCCGGATGAGTGACCAGGTTAAAGTTTTAGGAGCAGGTCCATTCCCAAGTAACTATAAGCCCTACCTTGACCAAACTTGCATGGATGATGCATCTAGGGATGGACACTACCACACTTGCTTCGGATGCTGGATCTGACCTAGATTTTCCGGATGAGTGACCAGGTTAAAGTTTTAGGAGCAGGTCCATTCCCAAGAAACTATAAGCTCTACCTGGACCAAACTTGCATGGATGATGCATCTAGGGATGGACATGGCCACACTTACTTCGGATGCTGGATCTGACCTAGATTTTCCGGATGAGTGACCAGGTTAAAGTTTTAGGAGCAGGTCCATTCCCAAGTAACTATAAGCCCTACCTGGACCAAACTTGCATGGATGATGCATCTATGGATGGACACTACCACACTTGCTTCGGATGCTGGATCTGACCTAGATTTTCCAGATGAGTGACCAGGTTAAATTTAAGGAGCAGGTCCATTCCCAAGTAACTATAAGCCCTACCCGGACCAAACTTGCATGGATGATGCATCCAGGGATGGACACTACCACACTTGCTTCGGATGCTGGATCTGACCTAGATTTTCCACATGAGTGAATTTTAGCCATATTTTAACCAAATTAGCATGGATGATGTATCTAGGGATGGACACTTCCAGACTTGCCTTGGATTCTGAATCTGACGTACATTTTCCAGATGAGTGACCAGGGTAATTTTTTTGGAGTAGCTATATAATATTATGGCCTGTTATGATTAAACTTGCATAGATGGTGCATCTAAGGATGAAAACTTCCAGACTTGGTTTGGATGTTGGAACTGACCAAAATTTTCTTGATTACTTAACAGGTCAAAAGTTTTTTGAGCAGGTCTACAATTAAATCAAACTTGCGTGGATATTGATCTTGGGATGTACCCTAACTAGAAAAAAAATATGATGTGAAATTTGCCTTACATGTAGATAACATTCGTCGAGGTGAGCTTCGTAATCTTTGATTACCTATGTTGTATAATTATATATTTGACTTTCTTGTTCATCAATGATAGTTTACTCATGGTTTCTTAAATTTTGGATTTAAGGGAGAACATTAAAATATTTATAAATAACTTTGCAAGTTATCCTGCTTATAGACTATGTTGTTATGCACATTTGGGTATCAAGAAGTGTTTATCTTATTCCTGTTAGATAAATGAGTCTGAATAATTAATGGATAACTGAATTTTTTATCATTTTCATGAAAAAGTCAAATGAATGTATGTTAAAAAAGGACATGTTCTCATTTTGTACATAATCATATGATTTTCAAGGGAAAAAAATCATTTTATTCACAGGTAACAATAGAGGATGGTAAATTTTTCCAGAGTCATCTGAACAGTCTTAGAGAATCTGTTGTGAGGAACTTTAACAAGTTAGGGACTGTACCCGACAGAGAAGAGTACGTATATACATGGCTGTCTTAGATGATTCATGTGTAGCTGCATTTTTATACCCTCGCTCTGAAGGAGAGGGGGGTATACTGTTTTACCCCTGTGTGTCCGTGTGTCTGTGTGTCCATGTGTCTGTCTGTAACATATTTGTCGCGGTTTTCTCAGCAACTACTCAGCGCAGATGCTTGAAATTTTAACACAATCTTTGTTTAGGCATGCCATATGGTTGGATTCATTTTTGTTCGAATCCGATGTCAACTTCCTGTTCGTCCATGCGTCTGTCCATTCCAAATTTCTGTCGCATATTTCTCAGCAACTACTCAGCGTAGATGCTTGAAATTTTAGCACAATCTTTGTTTAAGCATGCCTAATGATGGGATTTATTTTTATATGAAGTAGATATCAACTTCCTTTTTATCCGTGTGTCTGTCCATAACCAATTTTTTGTCGCAGTTTTCTCAGCGACTTCTCATCACATGCTTGAAATTTTAGCCCACTCTTTGTTTAGGCATGCCATATGGTACGTGGGATTCATTTTTGTTTAAATCTGATGTCAACTTCTGGTTTATTCATGCATCTGTCCGTACCAAATTTACGTCACAGTTTTCTCAGCAACTACTCAGCGAAGATGCTTGAAATTTTAACACAATCTTTGTTTATGCATGCCAGATGGTGGGATTCATTTTTGTATGAATTCAATGTCAACATGAGAGGGTAACCATATATTCACATCAGAGTGGGGGTATTACTAGTGTGCATTTGTTCATGCTCTTGTTGAACCTGTTTTTTAATCATACATATTTCATGCTTTTAAAATACATACAGTCAAACCTTGTTATCTTGAACTCAATGGGACCAGAATTTAACTTATAGATAACCAAGGATTTTGAGAAAACAAGTGTAAAAATCATTTAAAAAAGGGGTTGGGACTGACAACACCCTTCAACATAACAATGTTAAGTAAAAGTTGTCTTTACAGATAACACATGATTCCAACTGAGATCAATGAGTACTGTTCACAGTCGTATAATCAGATTAATATAGAGTTACCTCTTTTTGTTATATAAGTTATCTCTCTTTGTTAAGTAAGAGTTGTCTATCTTTACAGATGGCACATGATTCCTGCCGAGACCAATGCGTACTATTCACAGTCCTATAACCAAATTGTCTTCCCTGCCGCTATCCTACAGCGGCCCTTCTTTACACCAACATTTCCTACGTGAGTATATGACAATTTCATCCAAAAATTTTAAGGACAGATTATAAAAACTATTTTTTTTCCAATAATCTTAAAATTAATAACTAAATTCATTTTTTCATTAGTAAAATGAATATTGATTTATTATTTATTATATTAATTTTATAATTAAAAATAATTGCATATTTATGGCCTTTAAAGTGAAAAAAAAAAGTTGTAAAAAAGAACAAGGATGATTGTAAAAAGATAAGATTTTGAACATGGTAGAAATATAGGACTACATGTATTTCTTACCATTTTAGAAATTTTATATTTGTGTCATTTACAACCAAAATAAGTCCAAAAAGATATAAATCAATCTAGAATTGTTTTTTTTTAATATCATGTTATCATAGTAGTACATGTTTTCAAGCATTTTTAATTTTTTTTTCTTTTCTAGGTCTTTCAATTTTGGGACCACTGGGATGATTATTGGCCATGAAATGACTCATGGATTTGACAATGAGGGTAAAAAGAATCAATTGAATTTTTTGACTTATTCATGGATATTCAATGAAGGATTTTTTTCTCCTTGTAAATTTTTAATTGAAATCAAATTATTCACAAGATTTTTTTTTTCAAGTTTTGAAGAACTTTTTTCTGCATTTAGCCATTTACATAAGTGTGCTTATCAACTTGTATCAGTACTTTTCAGTACTTTGATTTTTTCCAGGTCGCCATTATGATAAGTATGGTAATCTTAATAACTGGTGGTCCAACCAATCAGCATTGAGCTTCCAGAAAGAGACGTCCTGTATGGTCAAACAATACTCCGCCTACACTGCTGAGAATACTCATGTAAGTTAGCTATATGTCTGAAGTGTTTACAATGCAGTTCAGTAAAAACTCCTCAACATGAAAATGCAATGAATTTAAAAGCTCAGTGTCTGAGATGTTATAAGGTTATCAAGATCTTGATATCAGGGTTATATATATACAGTCAGACTTCAATATTTATATTATGATTTGACCATTAAAATCTCTCAGATATCTCAATGTCTGAGATGGTGAAGTTGTAAGCTGAATTTGTAGTTGAACTCTTTGACTCATTTTAACATACAACATAAAAAAATTCAAGTATATATGTCACTGTCTTGTCCTGTAGTTGAAGGGAGAGCGAGTTCTGGGGGAAAATATTGCGGATAATGGAGGACTGAAGATGGCCTATGCAGCATATAAATTCTGGGAAAGATCACATAGGATCACAGAGGTCACAGATCTTCCAGGACTTGGTCTCACTCCAGAACAGCTGTTTTTTGTTGGCTTTGGTCAGGTAGGGGTCATTGTGTAATCTACAACATTTATGCAAAACTTTGTACTGTCAAACCTTGTTATCTTGAACTCATTAAAGCAAAAAAGGATATGAAAAAAATGATATCCAAGGATTCAAGATATCCAGGGTAAAATACTTAAAGAATAAGGGGTTCAAATTTTCAAAACACTTTGACATATCATTATAGTATTCAAGATATCAGTTTTCGAGATTCCAAAGTTTAACTGTATCTTAAAGAATTACATAGTTATATATTTACATTTGCAAATGTTTTCTTTTATATAACACTATTAAAAGCAGCGCCTATCTATATCCGTATAAACACAGGTTCCTCGCGTCATAAACGTTCGACGTAATTTTCTCAGTGACGTCATAAAGGGTTGTCATAAATGTAAATATAAGTAATAATGTATCATTTTTAAACATCTATCGGGATATAAATACGGGTTGGTACGAGATCAAACTTACCATAAAGCCCTTCGGGCTTTATGGAATTTGATCTCGTGACCAACCCGTATTTATATCCCGATAGATGTTTAAAAATGATACATTATCTCTTAAATAAATATTTAATATTAATGTTTGTTTGTTTGTTTGTTTGTTTGTAGCTTTGGTGCTCTTACTACACACCTCAGTACCTAAAGCAAGCCATACTGACTGATCCTCACACTATAGGAAAATTCAGGTCAGAAAAGTCCTGATAATTAATGTAGTCATTTATCATTATTAACAATGTTTTGATAATAGAGAACCCAAAATCTTTTAGCATGATATCAAGCTTAATTTCTGTTTCATAAACTTGATTTCAAAACTTTTGTCTGAATTTTTTGGAAATAAAGTTCATGAAAATATACCGGTGTTAATATTTAATTTAAAGACTTGCTTATTTTGCAGGACAATAGGAGTGGTTTCCAATTCAGGTGATTTTGCTCGAGCTTTTAACTGTCCTCCAAACTCTCCCATGAATCCACAAACTAAGTGCCAAGTTTGGTGAAATTCTGTTCATTCCATGATGTCTGTGATTAATGACTTCATTCCAGAAATTTTTTAACTGCCAAAAAAAACTTGGCCATTTTCTTAGATGGTGTGTTTTAAGTTCTCAAGAGCTGATATTAGAACAATTTGTTTTATTTATAGTATTTTCATTTTTTGTGACCATAAGCCTCAAAAATAGTGCATATTGATTATTGTGTGTGTTTATCTTTCCAAAACTTTATTCTGGAACTTATTTTTTATCTGTATTGTTAACATATAGAGGCATCACACTTTGTTTTTTTCACTTGTCTTTATAGATCTCATTTGAATTGTTGATATCTTGAAGGTATATTTTTTTATCATTATAGGTTATTTATTTTGTTCTAAGCCCCTCCTACTTCTAAGATGAAGCTTGTTACATTTACCAATGTTTTGTCTATAATAAACATACTTACCCTAGTAAAATCTGGTTTAAACCATCATAACCCACATTGCATCTTATGTAACCTTTGAACTATTTGTCCTTTTTTTTGGTTCAACAGGCTTGCTTTGTGCATTTATATCAATTATTATAAGATATGTTGTGGCCACAGAGAGTCAAGGCATTAAAATATATACTTAGTAATTATAGCTTCCATGAAGTATAGTATAATTTAACATGTATATTATCTGTTTATGTATCTAGGGGTGAATGAGATGATTAATTTTTCTTGTAGATTTGCTGCTCAAGCAAATTTTTATGTGCTTCCAGATAGTTAGCCTTTAATAATTCCCATAGTCCATGCTTTGTGCAACTGTTTAAATGTTGTCATGAAATTATCGCAGACATATCAATCTTTGTGGAAATGATTTTGTAAATTCAACCCATGCATCTGATGTTTTGAAGTTGACCCATTGAAGTTTTATTAAATAGGAAAGGGCTACGTTGTAAATTGTTGTGCATTTTGACCAGTAACATATCCAAATCATTTTCTCAAATGCAAGTTCATGGAAATCTTCGGATTTCCAAATTATTTTCTAAAAAAAAAAAAACAACCAAACAAATATAAAAAAAATTTAAAAAATTTTAAAAAATCATTTGTTTAATGTACATGCACTTCATTGGAGAATTTTTTTTACAATTTGATGACTAGATAGACGACTTTTTCTAGTTCTTTTTTCCCTGTATTTTATTTTACAGTTTCTCAGAAAAAATCCTCTTTACCATGAAACTCACCAACTCCCTCACTAAGGAGTATGACATTATTGTCCAGTCCAGTTTCATTTCAATGCATATATTTTGCTCATGATCAATAATCATTATGGATTTGAGTCAGAATTACAGTCAAACTTTGTTATTTCAAACTCAAAAAACCTTGATATCTGAGGATTTGAAATAACGAAGGTAAAAGAAATAATATTAAGTGGTTGGGACTTCCAAATTACTGCGATGTATCCATGGTACTAGTATTTGAGATTTCGTTGTTCAAGATACCAACGTTCAAGTGTATTAGGGCAAATTTCAAGGTCACAGATTCCACAGTGACAAAATATTTCCTTGGGCATTTCCCTTGTGATGAAAGGCTAATGTAAATTTAGCATTTGTTGTCAAGGATTTAGACATGATCAAGTTCACATACTTTATCAATATAAAACTCTGTTATTTATATTGCAGAGGTTAAATTTGTTTGCTGTACAAATGGTTTATTGTGGAAACGAAGAAAAAAAGTATTTTAAAAATTCACACTGATCATAATTCATGCTGGCCATAAGAATATGAATGCTTTACAGAGTCTAATATTGTGGCAGTACATTTATAAGCTTTGAAGATACAGAGCAGATGCAATTCTGACTGATCAAGGTCTTCATTTCCAAAACTGGCTGTAAATTCCAGAAAAGATAAGTTTTTTTTTTTTTAATTTTGTACCTCTGTAGGTTTTACAACTTTGTAAGATAGTGAAATCTAGATGATCAAAACAATACGGTCATTTTTCTTTCCTAGATGGCCAGATAACGACATATCGTTTAGAGATCTGCATATTAATTAATATTTGTGTATCAAACCTCTCATTGAAATGTGTTTTGCTGCAGGATTTATATAATATCTCTACAATCTTCTGAACTGTTCAAATGACTACCAAGATATGGTTAGTTTGAAAATAAACTATCTAAATCTTGCATTAAATCTGTTTTTAACTCAACTATTCTCAAATGTAGTTAGACCAGAAATTCTTGTGCGATGCTGTCTGTCAAACGTTTGTCCGTAACAAAATATGCTAACAATATTGATCAGATTTGGATGAAACTGGGAAATAAGCAATTCAATTCCAAGTCAAACAAATGTTACTTTGTTTAGCTCACCTGAGCTGAAGGCTCAAGTGAGCTTTTCTGATCGAAATTTGTCTGTCGTAAACTTGTCACATTTTCATCTTCTTCTCCAGAACCACTGGCTGGGCCTATTTCAACCGAACTTGGCACAGAGTATCTTTGGGTAAGGGGGATTCAAGTTTTTTTTTCAAATTAAGGGCCACACCCTCTTCCAAGGGGAGGTAATTAATATAAGAAATCATGAAAATTGGACGGGGTAATTTAAAATCTTCTTCTCAAGAACTACTGGGCCAGAAAATTTGAAACTTATTTGAAACCTTTCTGGGGTAGTGTAGATTCAATTTTGTTCAAATAATGACCCCCGGGGGTAGGGTGGGGCCACTATGGGCGATCAAAGTTTTGCATAGGAATACATAGGAAAAATCTTTAAAATTCTTCTCAAGAACAGTAATGTCATGATTAATCATACATGTATTTATACGGAAGCATCCTCAGGTATTTGTTCAAATCACGACATCCGGGGGTAGGATGGGGCCACTATGGGCAATCAAAGTTTTACATAGGAATACATAAAGAAAATCTTTAAAATTCTTCTTCTCAAGAACAGCAAACAGTCATACTCATATGGAAGCATCCCCAGGTATTGTACTTTCAAGTTTCCTTAATGACTTTTCAGGGTAGGGAGGGGGCCATGATGGGCGATCAAAATTTAAATAGGAATATATAGGAAAAATCTAGGGAACAGCAAAGCCATGATTAGTCATATTTATATAGAAGTATCCTCAGGTAATGTAGATTTAAGTGTTCTAATCATGACCCCCTGGTGTAGAATTGGGCCTCCGTGGGCAATCAAAGTTATACGTATGAATGCATAGGAAAAATCTTCAAAAGTCTTTTTCTCAAGAACAGCAAAGCTATGATATATATATTTATAGATATATTTATATTGAAGCATCTTCAGGTAGTGTAGATTCTAGTTTGTTCAAATCAAGACCCCCGGGGATAGGATGGAGCCACAATGGGCAAAGTTTTACATAAGAATATTTGGGAAAAAATCTTTAAAAGTCTTCTTCTTTAGAACAGCAAAGCCATGAATAGTCATATTTATATGGAAACATCCTCAGATTCAAGTCTGTTCAAATCATGACATCTGGGGTAGGGTGGGGGCACAATATTTTATCTTAATTTTACATAAGAATAATTATGTATTAGGAAAAAATCTGCTGATAAAGAACAGAAGGGACATTGATACTCAGGTGAGCGTAGTGGTCCATGGGCCTCTTGTTTTAAATTGGCAACACTGCATTGCATGAATTGTTGATAAGGTATTCACAGCTGCCAACCCTTACGATTTTGGCGTAAGGCTTACGCTTAAGCGTCTTTAATACGCCTTACGATTTATCTATTTATCCTTACGAACTCAGTGAGGTACATTTCTAGAAATATTTTAGTCTAAAACCCCAGTCACGTTTCCAAAAACGACCAACGGCCGACGGTTTTCGAGGCAAAATAGGATTCTTCGGGCGACGGTCGGCAGTTCATCTTCGTCTTTTTTCGTCGGCCGACCAATTTTGTGCCTGTTGGTTAAATTTTTTCTGCGTTGGTGGCCGATTCCTTCAATTAAAGCAGTCGGTGAATAGTCCGTCGACCAACCTTCCATCGTCGTCCGATCATCTGCAGACAGTTCGTTAAATCGGTCATCGGTCGGTCGACATTTAATAATTGGGTTTTCATAAATGTCGGCCGACGTTGAAAACCAAACTGGGGCTTAGTGAACGATTATCGGGTGACGATTGGCCAACTTGGAAATATTTAATATTTGAAAATAATCGGTGTTCCTAGGAATTAATGTGACTCCTCCATGTCGCCCGATACTAGTGTCGACCGATTTTTCAGCCGACGATACGAGAAAAATTTGGTCGCCCGACCATCGGCTTAAATGACCTAGGTATAAGGGTTTAAAGCTAGATTAGGTTTGCTTTGAAGGATCCTTAGATTATATAACATTAATATCTAAGAGGTTTTCATTTCTCCTCTATATGAAAATCAAATAATATTTCTACAAAAATTGCCATGAAGATAATAAGAATGTTTGTTTTTAAATATCCATCTTCAGAAACCCACGGTCGGTGGAAGCAAACTGATGATTGGTTTCCGAAGATGTGAAAAATCATGATCATTAATCTTGAATGATGGTTATTTTACATGGGGTTCATTACATGTAATAACATATATGCATTATATACAAACTGGTCAGAGGTACATATACGAAGGGTGATCAAAAAGTTCGCGAACTAATTGGATAACTTCCTTAAAAGACATAAAATGAGTTTTCAGTGTTTATTATTTTTTAAAGTAGTCCTCTCCGATTTTAATGCACATCTGCCAATGTTCTGCCCATGCGCGAATCACGTGATCAAGGCAGTCACGTGACATGCTCCGTAGCAGTTTGTTCAAAGAAGCTAAAAGATTGTCGACCGATTATGTTTTTCAGCCGACGATACGAGAAAAATTTGGTCGCCCGACCATCGGCTTAAATGTGACCTAGGTATAAGGGTTTAAAGCTAGATTAGGTTTGCTTTGAAGGACTGTTATATGTACTAATAATAAATCCGCAATCTGAAAAATCTCCTATAAAAATTATGAAAATAGCAATGAACAAGCTCATAATCCAAAACATTAAAAATTAAGAGCAGGGAAAGCACAGACCCCTGGAGGGGTCAGGGATATTTTTCATGTCAGCATCTACATTGTACTGCGACATGGGACTCCAATTTATTCCGTCTCATCCGAAGGATTGGTCTCCACGTCCCACAGTGGATTCGAACCAACAAATGTAAGCGACTCTAGAACGAAAGTTCTAACCACTGTGCCACACGGGCGACTGTCCGTGTTAATTGCATTTCCCCTAGATTATTTAACATTAATATCTAAGAGGTTTTCATTTATCCTCTCTATGAAAATCAAATAATATTTCTACAAAAATTGCCATGAAGATAAGAAGAATGTTTGTTTTTAAATATCCATCGTTAGAAATCCACGGTCGGTGGAAGCAAACTGATGATTGGTTTCCGAAGATCTGAAAAATCATGATTATTAATCTTGAATGATGGTTATTTTACATTTAATGTTAATTTAATAAAACAGTTTACGTTTAGGAAATAAATGTTTTTGTATATATATTATAAAAAATTGTAATATCGAATTAAGTTCATTTATTTTATCACAGGCAACGGCTTAAAAAGTGAGGGGGGGGGGGGGCAACTTTCCAAAAAAAAAAATCTGAGAAATTAAAAATAAAAACTGACCTAAAAGTGGGGGAAGGCAACTTCCCAAAAAATAAACAAACCTCCAATTCCTGGATTTTGCCTGTGCTCGTCCTAATAGCAACAAAAAGTGTGTGTGTGGGGGGGGGGGGCAACCAGCATCTAAAGGAAAATTTACTATAGCAAAATACTTTACGCGGAAAAAGTGGGAGGGGGACGCCCCCCCCCCCTCCTCGTTCTAAAGGTCTGTATCATTAACATCGTATACGTAACTGTTGTAAACAGAAATATTTTGTCCCGATTTTACATTCCTAAGAAAGACCACGGGTTTATGTTTTTTTTTTTTTCAGAGCTTTTTGTTTTTCATTTTCTTAGACTCAAATTAATTTGCTTCATAGTAGTATATTTTTGATGGATTTAGTTTTTTTCTCATTTTCAGACCAAATTACAGTATAGATAAGGGTTGTTACACGGCTTGACGAGGGCGCGTTTTGCGCGCCCGAGGCAACCGTGTAACAACATGTTTGTCGCGGGTGCGTATCATTACCGCTACATTTTCAAAATTGTAATTACCGCTACATACCCGGTACTCATTACCGCTACAAAAAAGGTTACATTACCGCTACATTTAAAAGTATACATTACCGCTACATTGCCTCTTTCGTTAGCCAGCGGCTTAGATTGAAAGTACAACATATACATACTTAAGACCTGTCCCCCCTTTTCACCACGGAAAGGTGAAAATAAGACTTTGAGCAGGATGTTTTTTTTTCCATTCTTTTAATTTAAAATCAATTGTATTTAATCAAACATTTTAGAACGTTTAAAACCGAGCATTGTTCGTGGATAAAACACACAGTCTTTACATAATTGGTAGAGCTTTGAAGGCCATCTGACGTACTGCTGTCTCTTATAATGAATCGTAATGAATAGAACTTAAGAGGGCTGGGTGGTTGTGGCCATTTTCAGTCTATATTGATCTCCTTTAAAAGAAGAGCTCCATATAAAGATATACAAAAATGATCAAATTTTAAAACTAAAATGTATGAAATTTTTGTTTGCCAAATGATAGTTGACAGCTTAAGATATCATATCTAAAAAATTAAGTTATATCTGATGGTTAATTTGGTGACCCCCCAGCCTCCTTAATATATTCCGTGGCATAGCTGGCTGATTGGATATGTAGCGGTAATGTCTTGTAATCGGCAAGAATCCTATTGATAAAATGTAGCGGTAATGATCACCCGAAATTTCGTCGAAATGTAGTGGTAATGAGATGAAATTTATCGCAATGTAGCGGTAATGTTGACCTCCCTTTGTTGCATGGTTCTTTGTTTCTTGATTAAATGATTAAAATTTTCCAGGTAGGACAGCTAGGATCGGTAATTAGGTGAAGGGTTACCCATTATACATTAATTGATACAATAATTAATCAATTTATATCTCCCATTCAGAAAGACCTGTGCAGGAATGAGACTGAGTGTTATACCACGGACAATTAAGTGGAAATTTGTGGTTAGTAGAACCATCCAAAAGATATTAAAGTATGGATTTGTTGAGAAATCAATCCAAAAATAGACTTGAAAAGAAA